CACTGGGCTTGCTGCTCAATTAATGGCAAAAATACCTTTGATTTCTTGGCAGGCCTGACGTCTTTGAAATGGCTTCCTGCGTTGGTGTGTACTCCCCAGGGGGGAAATGCTGAATGAGGAAGAGAAACCGGAGATCCAGCACAGAGTGGCTGCCTGGCACATCACCTTTCTGGAGGAAAAGACCCTCCTGTCAGAGTGGCATGGATGGCTCTCATGGCTCTGGCAGTCCCTGCCCTGACCCAGGTGGTTGTCTCGGGTGATTCAGTGAGGAACTGCATCACCTGCAACCCCCCCTGTAGCTGGGTGATGGCTCCCAGACTGCATGGGGGTGAGATGTGTGTGCCTGCCCACCCTGTGTCTCCCCAGCAGGGATGCTCATCCTGCCGAGGGCTTGGGGCTGCTCAGGGGCTGTGCTCCCCTCCCACACACAGTCTGTGGCCACTGGCAAGCCCTGTGGCTCAGCCCTTCCCCTCCAGTTTGCCCAGGGCCAAACCTGAGCTGTTGGGGGTGTAGCCTTAGGGGCAGTGGGAAATGTGGGTCTGTTCCCCAGACCTTATTCTGTGCAGAGTCTGGGGGCTGAGAGCTGTGAGACGAGGCCCAGCTGGTGATGAATGGCTTTCTGTGAATGCACCTGGGTTATTCCAACTGCCTGCCTCAAATAATTGCTCTGCCGGCCTGGTCCTCAGCAGGTCTGAGCCCAAGCCTGAGACCACTCCTCTCTCCAGATGGCTTTTTTTCCCCCCAAAAAAGACAACTGGTTCCTCAGCTTCCTGTAATGGTGCTTGCTGAGTTTTTGATGGGCAACAGCAAACACAAAGCCTTGGGGTAACAGGGTGGTGAGGAGCCAGTGCCAGGCTTGTGCAACGGGGGAATGAGGAGGGTCAGACAGGATGGGAGCTGCTGTCTGAAAGGGTCTGCATCTTCCCTGGAAAAATCAATTTACAAACTGGAAACACCGGATGCCACAGCCACAGGCAGAAAGTGTGTGGGGGAGTGTGAAGTACTGAAGAGTTGATGGGGAGTGTCCGTGTGTGTAGTGAGGGCTGGCTTTGTGCTGGTTGTGCCCGTCTGGGCTGGGGCTTGGGGGGTTCAGCTTGCCAGGGGGAACAAGGCCCTCCTCCACCCCCAGGTTATCGCCCACGTCTGTGGTTTGCAGAGCCAGGCCCAGCTCCATGGAGTCGCTGGGGTTTCACTTGCAAAGTTCCTGTTCAAACTCTCTCTGGTTCCCCTTTGGGCTGAGGCTGGTCACGGAATGTGCCTGGAGTGTGGCCTCAAGGCAGGAGTTGTGGCCCAAACGAGGAGCTGAGTGAGGTCTGGAGCCTCGAGGAAAAACCTGTGTGTCTCCCAGAACCCCCAGTGCCCACAAGGAGAGAGACAAAAAATTTATGGAAAGCTTTTATGTTCTATTTCCTTTTATTTTAGCCTTCTTTTCTTTCCTCCTTTTTAGCCTCCTTTTCTTTCCTCTTTTTTCCCTTTTAGCTCCATTTTCTCTCCCTTTTCATCTTCTTTTCAAACACCTCTGATGGTTTCTAAGTACAGCTTTATCACTGGTAGCCTGGGGTGAGGCTGATGGACACTCCTGGGCTTGTGCTCCATGCACCCCTGGGTGCCCAGGGCTTTCCCAGCTGGGTCACAGGAGCCTGTGGGTGGGACACCAGGCTCCAGGCACCTAAGCCCTTCTACAGTGGGGCTGCAATGTCCCACGTGGGAAGTCAGAGCATTGTCCCACCATGCCTCCTCCAGGAAGAGCAACTGTCAGGAAACCCTGCCCCACTGCCTGGAAATGCTCCATGACGATCCCTTTCCCTGCTCTCCAGGCACAGCCAGGGCTGGCTCTGTGTCCCTCCAGCCAGGTGGCTCAGAACTAACCCAGGAGAAGGAGTGGCTGAACCAGCCCCAGCAGGTTTTCCAGGTAACCGGTGGTGTCTGGCTTTTAGTGCCTCACACGCAGTTTCACTTTTGGCTGAGCCTTGGGCACGGTGGAGCTGGATCCTGACGCTGGAGCCGGCTCTGTGCTGGGCACAGTGTGACTCTGGCTCAGTGTGGGCACTGGGGGTGTGTTACCCCTGGCACTGCCCTGGGACCTTGAACAAAATCACCAAACCCAGCATTATGCTGCTTCTGCCCATGTAGCACTTGCAGGGCTGTTGGGAGGGCTGGGAATCCCCAATGCTCCACTCCTACTGGTGCTTTGGGGTCGCTCACCTTGAGGGGCTGCTCCTCCTCTCTTAGCTTTGGGGGTTCAGCCTCTGGAAGCTGCTGTAGGCAAAGCAAGGAGGGCTGGAAAGCACTTAGTCCTTGAATTGTTCCCCCTCACCCTGAGAAGTCCTGGCCAAGCACCCCCAGCCAGGGGGGTCTGAAGTGACCCTCAGCCCGGGGTTTGAGCTGAAGTGCAGTTTTTCCCCAGCAGCAAAGATCAGTGAGGAGGGGTGTACCTTGACAGTGTGCCCCCACACGGGGGTTCTGCTCTTAGTCTTGGGTGTGGGGTCTCTCCCCATGGTGTCCCACACCTGGTAACCCACCTCTGGACCCCACTTCCTTCTTCACACATCGTCTGTCACCTCCCCCATCCCACCAGCACATCCCGTTTCTCAGCTCCTGCTACCCCCCCCCACATATACCACCTCCTGCCCCCCCAGGGGTACCAGAGCCCCCAGACCCATGTCACTGGTGTCACCAGGCTGGGCACTGTGACCTGCCCGTGGCGTGGGGGGGGCAGTGATGCCCCCACTGAGTAGCCACGGTGCTCACCACCGAGTCCAGCATAAACTCTGTACTGAAGACCTGTGGAGCAGAGCTCTGCCTGGCAACAAGTGATGCAAGTGCCAGCAGCCAATAGGATTTTTTTTTTTACTCCCCCCCCCGGGTGTCAGGGCAGGGTGGGGACCGGAGGGTATTTCCAGGGACAGAGCTGGGGGTGCTCATTTCCATCGGGGAGCCCACCGGAGCCATGGCAGAGGAGCAGCGGGACCTCATCTCTGACCGCGGCAGCGCCGTGCTCAGCGTTGGGAACACCCAGAGGTGCCACTGCTGGGGGGCAAGGGGTGGGGGGCAAGGAGAGGGCAAAGTGGGCACA